AGGGAGCTGTGGGCCCCCGATGGATCTCCACGCTCACCCCTGCTCTCCAGCAAGCTTAGAATCGGTCATTGACATCTTCCTGGGCCGTAATTTACACCCCGAAATCACAACTATAGTCCTCATAGTGTCACCCAGAAATCACACAATCGCATCTATTTTGTTTTTCGAGGCAGGGTCGTACTAAGTAGTTCCAGCTGACTCTGAACTCACTATGTAGCCCTGGTTGGCCTCAAACTCATGGCTATCCTCCCGCCTCAGCCTCCCGAGTGCTGGGATGACAGGCGCGCGCGACATAACACCTAGCTACCGTCACATCTGTAACGCGCATGCACACACACACACACACACACACACACACACACACACACACGAAACGAGGTCATTGTCACAGTCATCCCCAGGGGCGAGGGTGTAGTTCGGCGATAGAACAGCTTGCTTAGCATAGTTGAGTTCAAATCCCAACATTGCAAAAAATAAAATAAAGTTGCCTACGATTTCAGGGGGGCTTGTGTGGCCTAAGAAGCCAGTTGGGAGTTTATTCTTTCTGTTTGGTTAGTTTTGTTTTCTGGAGACAGAGTCTCACTATGTCTTTCAGGCTGGCCTTGAACTCACTATGTAGCCCAGGCTGGTCTCGAACTCACAGCGATCCTCCCGCCTCAGCCTCCCGAGTGCTGGGATGACAGGCGTGCGCCACCGCACTCGGCTTAGCAGTTCCTTTTGTAAACGCTCAGCCGCAGACACGGTGCACACATCTCACAAGACAAACCTGTCGGCGCCCACCGTCTCTGCCTCCCCCTCGGCCGAGCACACACGCGATCCCGCTCTCGCGGCTGCTGAGCACCCCTGACAACTGCACTCCATTTGGTGCACCTGCCTGGAAACAGTCTGGTTTCCAGGACGACCCCCCCAGCTGTCACACCCACAAACCGGCCAGCGTCGGACGGCGAGTCCCGCACCCTAGGCCTGCCTCCCACCGCACACACCTCATTCCCTACTCTACCCATCTTCGGGATCTCACAGAGTCCTGTACCCCGAGACCTGTGCCCTCCCTCCCGGCTCACCGGCCTGTGTCGTGGGCAACAGCTGCAGGGCGGCCAGGAGCAGGCAGACGGCAGCCCGCG